GGGACCCGCTCACCCCGCCCCTGCTGTCCCCACCCCTAGGTGCTGACCTGTGCAGCGGGAGGACCCGCTCACCCCGCCCCTACTGTCCCTAGCCCTGGGTGCTGACCTGTGCAGAGGGACCCGCTCACCCCGCCCCTGCTGTCCCTACCCCTGGGTGCTGACCTGTGCAGAGGGAGGACCCGCTCACCCCTGCCCTGCTGTCCCCACCCCTGGGTGCTTACCACAGCATGCAGCTTGAGTGGTTCCCGAGCTGTGGTTGACATGGGGCTCAGGCTGGACTCCAGGGCCTGCACATAGGCTCTGGCAGCCCGCAGGCGCAGCAGGTAGAGGTCTGTCTGGAAGGTTCGGTGCATGGCTGCAGAGGGAACATGAAGGGCAATGGAGCAGTGGGAGGGGAGAGTACTCTTGTTCAGATCACGTGAGAGGAATGGAGAAGGAAGACAGATAGGCAGGAGCAAGGCCTGCAGAAGCTGGGGATACAGGGATAAGGAGTGCCATACCGGATGCTCTGGACCATACCCTATTTCCTCCTTATCTCGGTCTCCACCCCGGTACCTTCTGTCCAGCCTTCAAGGCTGGTGTTCCCTGTTTCAAGGCTGGTCTTGACCTTGGTTTTCTCACCTACCATCTTGTTCTCTGGATAATATAGGTCCTGCTCTGACTCTGGCCACCCCAAGAACATCAACTTCTAGCTCCTTAAGGATTTTAACCTGTTCCCATAGCCACATGCCAAGCTCCGTATGTGTAGACACTGATGTGCGGTGTGTCCCTAGCAGCTTGTGGGTGCCCAGGCCTGCCTCAGCTTTGAACTGCCTCATGGTCATCTCCATCTGAGGTCCCATCCACACCAAGTTCAACATAATGGAAACCAGCCTCACCCTGACTGGCTCGCTGCACCTGTCCCACCCACTGTACCGGTCCCCAAGGCCCCTTGGTTCATCCCTTACCCCTAACCTTTTGCCAAGTGCAGATGACCCCTCTTCAAATCCACCTCTGGAGCCGCAGCCCCCACTCTAATTGCTCTGGTGCTGTTTGTTTGTTTTTTTCCTGTTGTTTTTTGTTTTTTGGTCAGGGTCTCACTATGTAGCTGATCATGAACTTGATATCCCACCTTCCACCTCCCAAGTGCTAGAACTGTAAGTGTGTACCACCACATCCATCATGAAGATAGTTTTATAATTTCCTTTACTAGACTTTATACATTTTTTTCATTATATTTATTCCAAGGATCTCTTTGCTATTGTGAATAGACCTTTTTCCTGTCATATTTGCCAGTCAGAGATTATTGGTACATATAAAAAGCATCCAAGTTTTTCAATTTTTATTCATTTATTTATTTTTAATGTGTATGAGCGTGCCTACATGTGGGTATGTGCATGTGGGTGCAGTGCGTGTAAAGGCCAGAAGAGGGCATCAGATCCACTGAAGAAGGCCTCAAAATAGTTGTAAGTGGCCAAGTGGGTGCTGGGAATCAAACCTGGGTCCTCTGGAAGAGCAGCCAGTGCTCTTAACTGCTGAGCCAGCTCTCCAGCCCAAGATTAAAAGACTTTGAGACTTTTATATCTGGTCACCTTATAGAACTTAACTCCCTACTGATTTTTTGACACTTTATACATTTACATATGCATTTAGTTGTATTTTGTTTGGTTTGGTTTGCTTGTCCTGGCTATCTTGGAACTCGCTTTGTAGACCAGGCTGGCCTCGAACTCACAGAGATCCGCCTGCCTCTGCCTCCCAAGTGCTGGGATTAAAGGTGTGTGCTATCATCATGCCCAGCAATATTTTTCACTCCTTTGTTTGTACTCCAGCAGCCCTTGGAAGAAAGCACCTGGCACCCAACATGAAGTTAGCCGGACTGAGCAGCCTGGTGTCATCACAGGATACGAATGAATGGCTGAGCAGGAAAAGTTAACAACAGGAAGAACACGGTGAATTCTCCTTCTCTCTTGAGAATTCCCGCATCTGGAAGTAACTGCTGCCTCTGAACGCCAAGGGTCCCGACTCGCACTAACCACAGCCTCTGCCGTAAGGATCAGTTTGTTACCTGACGGCTATACCTCTGACCTTCCCTGTTGGCTGAGGTCTCTCCCATGCTCAAGGCCCCCAGTGGGAGTCTCTGTGTTCTTCCAGGAGTCTCACCTGTGCCAGCTTCCCGCTCTCGCAGGGTCTGGTCCACGTACAGCCGGGTCTTCCGGGGCACGCTGAGTTTTGTGGTCTGTGCTAGTGGTGGGCCCATCTCACCGGTCCCTTCCACAAACACTGCCGTGCGCTTCAGGATCTTGATGACAAGGCCACCACCTGAGAAGTGGGCAAGAGAAACATGGCCATTCCCCTGTCCTACCCCACATTCCCATTCTTCTCAAAACAATTACATCCATGTCCATACATGTCTGTCTTTCTTACGAGATTCACTTTCTAGAAGGAATGAAATATCTCAAGTCTGTCTTTTTTCTCCTGAGGAAGGGACCCATGTAGCTTAGGAGAGCCTTGAACTTCCCTCTGTGTTAAAACATGACCTTGACCACCTGGTCCACCTGCCTCCACCTCTCCAGGTGCTGCTATTACAGTTGTGTTACAGCACACATGGCTTCCAGCACTCTCCTACCACCAATTCATGCATCCCTTTAGTAGCTGTTTACAAAGTACTGTGATGTTCTTGGCACTATGGTGGATGCTGAGGGTGCTGGGTAAACTGGAGAGGCACCGGCCTGACCAGGATGAGCTCCTAGGCAGAAAAAGCCAACTGCTGATAAGCTGATCCAACCTTACACAAAACATGTGTGCAGGCCTGGCTTTCCACCTGTTTCTATCCACAGGCCTCCTCCTTTCCTCCGGGATCTCATCTCTTTACCCCAGGCCCACCCCGTCCTTCCCAGAGTTCTCACCTCGAGTAGTCATGATGAGGGTGTTGTCCTCTCGCCCGTATCGGCCAAAGCAAAGGCTGGTTACTGCATCCTATGTGGAGAAACCAGAGTTTACCTGGGAAAAGAGCTTGAGGAGAGCAAGATGGCCGGAGGGGGAGCCCAGATCAAAGCAAAAGTGGGTGAGATGCGAAGAGAGGCTGTGGCAATGCTGCCCTGGAAATACCTCTTGGATTATCCTCCCCCTTCCAACCTCCCCGGCCCTGCTAAGCTCCACATGAAACACCCCCAGCCCTCTTTTGGAGTGGCCTTCTAATCAATCTCTTGGGCTACCTAGTCTGTGTCTGCATTGTGTCCTTGGTTGTCTCTACTGCCTTTCAAAAGCACAACCCTCCAATGGCTTTCGCTCTTCTTGGCAGGATATTTAAGATCTTCCACATCAGACTCCAATCTACCTCCCCAGGTTTCTCCTCTGTGTTCTCCTAACCCCTACCCTCCCAGTACATCAGGCCCAAGCACTGCCTTCAGATTTTACGTCATGCTCATAAAACCACTTGGAATTTCGCATTAGGAAATGCTCCCACGGGGCTGGTGAGATGGGTCGGAGGGTAAGAGCACTTACTGTGCAGGTCTGACGACCTGCGTTCAATCCCAGGAACCCACGGGGGAAGGAGGGCTCATCCCTGAAACTTGTCCTCTCATCCCGACATGCTCACCCTGGCACATGCACACATGGAGTGTGTGTGTGTGTGTGTGTGTGTGTGTGTGTGTGTGTGTGTGTGTGTGTAAAAAGAGCCCTGGAACTGGAACTGGAGAGATGGCTCAGTAGTTAAAGGCACTGGTTGCTTTACCAGAGGACCCAGGTTTGATCCCCAGCATCCACATGGTGGCCTGTAACTCCAGATTCAAGGGATCCTATGTCCTCTTCTGGCCTCCATGGGAACTATGCACTCATGGTGCACAGACATGCATGCAGGCAAACAGCCATACACACAAAATTATTTTAATAAAAAAAAATTCTAACTGGTTATCCAATATCAAGTAGTCAGCTCTGAACTCATATACATACTAAAATAAACTGATCAGATTATAAGTGTGTGTGTAAAATAGTAACAACTAAAGAAAGAGAGGCCAAGCTGGGTGGCGGTGGTGTATGCCTTTAATCTCAGCACTGGGGAGGCAGAGCCAGGCAGATCTCTGTGAGTTTGAGGCCAGCCTGGTCTACAGAGCAAGATCCAGGACAGGCACCAAAACTACACAGAGAAACCCTGTCTTGAAAAAAAAAATAAAAATAAAAAAAAAAGAGAGGCCACAATTTTTGTTTGTTTGTTTTTGAGACAGGGTTTCTCTGAGTAGTTTTGGTGCCTGTCCTGGATCTCAACCTATAAACCAGGCTGGCCTCAAACTCACAGAGATCCGCCTGCCTCTGCTTCCCAAGTGCTGGGATTAAAGGCGTGCACCACCACCACCACCACCACCACCACCACCACCACCACCACCACCACCACCACCTGGCCTAAAAGAGGTCACAATTTTGAGAGGGAGCAAGGAGGATGGGTACATTAGAAGAGTTTAAGGGAGGAAAGGAAAAATGATATAATTATATTTTAATAATAATAATAAAGAGCAGGGCATAGTGGCACAGCCTTTTAATCTCAGCCCTCAGGAGGCAAAGGCAGGTAGAACTCTGTGAGTTAGAGGCCAACTTGGTCCACATAGTGAGTTCCAGGCCAGCCAGATCCTGTCTAAATAAAAAAAGGACTTTTATGGCCCTCAGCCTTTGTCCATGCTGTTCCTGGTCTAGAATGCTCCTCTGACATTCAGCCACTTGGCAAACTGATTTGCCATCTCTCCTGTGGCAACTGTACACATCATGATGGGTTCAACCAGTATTTCTGAGACTTGTCCCTACGGGGCCAGGAGAGGCAGTGAAGAAGCAGGGCCAGGTGGATGCGGGAGGGGCTGACGAGGCCCCACCCAAGCTAAGGAGTATTGGCAGTCCATGGCTGCTGGAGGTAGGGAGTCATTTTTCTTCAGGGGTGTAGCCACCGGTGAGCTGGTCATGGGTCAGTAAATACACCCACTCCATACACATGCCAACAGCCCTGAGTAAACTAAGTAGGTTAAAGAAAAAAAAAAAAGACATGAAAGTTGGGGAAAAGGGTATCAGGGAGTGGGGAGTTAGAAGGGGAATGTGGGTGGATGAGATCAATTCATACATAAATAAGAATTATGAAGGGAAAGAAGGGCTGGGTAAGAAGAGCCAGCAGCAACGCTGGAGGAGTGCTCACAGGGGCATGGATAACGTTAAGCAGGGCCTTGTCACGGTAAATGCGGACTTCCCCGTTGGCCAGGGCGGCCATGACAGCTTGCAGGCCCCGGGAACGCTGCTCCAGGAGGTTCATGGTCAGGATGGCTGCAGGCATCTGCACTGTCCACAGCTTCTTACCCTAGCAAGGAACAGCCAGTGTGTCTGCAGGGAGTTCAGGGCTTCAGGTGGAAAGGAAGGGCAGCGGGAGCAGAAGGGAAGGGAGGGCTCTGGGCTCACAGGCAGATGGTGTGGAGGGGGGGGGCTTGCCAGAGACCACACCTTGTGGGTGAAGCCATGCAGACTCTCCTGGGTGCTGCCCACCACCAGGGTCTTGTGTACCCGGACCAGCCCCACAGGCTGGGCACTCAACTCGATGCAATACTTGGGGTGTTTGGAGTCTCTGTGGAATAAACACACAATCTCTGCCCAGAGGAGCCTTGCCCATAGCTCCCTGGCTGACCCATCCCTTCTAAGCACTCCCAGATTAGCCTGAAAGCACCCCTGGTCCTGAGCAGATGATGGGATTATTTCTCCAACTCCCACTTTGTAGATGTGTGACCTTGGATAATACCAGGTGCGTTTTCCGACTCTGCCCTCCTGCCCTCCACAATGGTGACAGGTCTAACAGCCTGGGATTTCAGAGTTGAGAATACATTTTCCTTAGAGCAGTCTAGCCAATGCTATTAGACCGGGGAAGTTTACTGGTTTATCAGAAAAGGATCTTTAGTTTTCCAAGTCTCTCCATTTTAGTTTTTCCTTTTCCAGAAGAAACTGTTAATTCTTGATTAAAATCCTAATCATTTCATTCACTCCTACTGGTCACAGCTTTAAGTCTATACCATTTGGCTAAACTCTGCCGCCTCCAGCAAAGCATCAGAATTATTTAAGTAGACATACAAAGTTTATCTACTTTGTTTGAACGTGGAAGACCACTGTAGCAGCATTAATAATGAAAAACACGTGGCCACCAGGTGGCTAAGGTAAATAAATATACATAGGTATTTACATATGTAAGTTCCTTTTCCAGAAATTACCCCAGGCTCCAACCCACTTTTCTTCAGGCCATCTAATGACTGTGGGTCTCCACTGGCTTCTGGGCTCTGCTCCAAGGCCGGTGCAGATTCCTGGGCTCTAGGAATTCTCCTTTCTTAGCCTTCCAAATGTTGGGACTACAGGTGCACGGCCCTTCAAGTCACCACCGCAGACGATGTTTCTTCCCACCGAGTCTCCACTGCTCCTCAGGAAGCACCCTTCTAACTTGCAATAGCTGTAATGCCTGTCTTCCCCAGGAAGGCGGGAACTGTGTTTACAGCATTCCATCACCTCCAACACTCTGCATACTGCTAAATGCATAGTAGATGCTCAATAAATGTCTTAGATTAAAAGACTGTCTGGAGCTGGGCAGTGGTGGCACACGCCTTTAATCCCAGTACTTGGGAGGCAGAGAGGTGGATCTCTGTGAGTTTGAGGCCAGCCTGGGCTACAGAGTAAGTTCTAGGAAAGGGTCCAAAATTATATGGAAAAACCCTTTCTTGAAAAAACAAAAACAAAACACACACACACACACAAAAACCCACCAATATAACAAATACAAGGGATTATACCTGTTTCCTCCACCTCTGATTGTACTGTTGTGTATTACAACCATTGTGCCAGGCTCTCACTTTGCCAGCCTCCTCCTCCCCTCTACTCTCACAGTTCAACCTCCTTTACGAATTCTTCTATCTTTTCAATCCCAAAGTCCCGCCCCCAAACCCCCTGATCATCTTGTAAGCCTCTGAAATCACCAGGTCTCCAAGGCCACAACTGTGGCTACCTTCTGAGGATATAGATGCTCCCATTTCTGCAGGCAGCAGTCAGTCGGAACTCCACATCAAACTGGCCAGAAACCTCCAGGAAGACAGGGACACTGGGCAGGCTCATCTGCAGAGAAAAGGCTCCGAACATACTGACCATAGTTGGGAGAAACTGTTAATTCTTGATTGAAATCCTAATGGCTTCATTCACTTCCTACTGGTCACAGCTTTAAGTCTACACCATTTGGCTAAACTCTGCTCCTCCAGCAAAGCATCAGAATTATCTAATAGACACAAAATTTGTCTACTTTGTTTGAACATGGAAGACCACTGTAGCAGCATTAATAATAATGAAAAACTTTTAAGTGGACAACATGTTGCAAAGTACATACATCTATATATGTATTCACATGTGTATCTACATAGAGAATGGCTATGTGGGGCCTTTAAAAGGGCTGATATGAAGCTGGGAATGGTGATATACACCGTAATACCAACACTTGGGAGATGGAGGCAGGAGGATCACAAGTTTAAGGCTATCCTGGACTACACTGAAAAACAAAAACAAAAACAAAAGAAGCCAAGAATAAGACAAAAAGACTGATGTGGTTTTGTAAACACAGGAAGACACTGACGTCACATGGTAATGCGAAAGAACAAATTGCTGGATTCTGCACACGAGCCTGTTTATCCCTGTACTTACTGCTTATACCTCACATCCCCTTAACCAAACCCGTGAGGAGTTTCAGTTGAGGAACTACCTATATCAGGTTGGCCTGTGGGCAACTGTCTTGAGTGTTAATGGAGGTGGCAAGGCACACCTTGAATTCACTGGTCAGGCTCTGAACTGTCTGAGTGAAGAAAGCCAGCTGAAGATTAAGCACAAGCAAGCAGACTCCATGGGTGTATTCCTTTGTCTCTGCCCTAGACTGTGGATGTGAGGTGGCCAGCTGCTCGAGTTCCCTGAAGTGATAAACTGTACCCTGGAGTTGTAATTCAATCAAACCCTTTCTTCCCCAAGTTGCTCCTGATCAGGGTATTTTACCACAGCAGCACTCATGAAACTCTGTATAAAATTAGAACGTTTGAATCAAGCTAGATAACCATGCCACACGTGAGAACATCTAGAAGGATCTACGCAAAAGCTTTCGTACTAGACCTAGTAGCAGTGAGCTCTCGCTTTCCTTCAGTGGATGGATACCACCCGTGACTGAGAGAACAAGGAGGACGATGCAGCCTGACCTTGACCTGACACTGACCTTGGTCAAAATGGTGAAGGCCTCAGGGTCAAGCACTAGGAGCTCCTTGTTCTCAGTGCCCAGCACCAGACAGGACACTGCATCCTCATCTGCAAGGTTCTTCTTCAGGGTGGTCATGGTGGTGATGACTGTCTGCGGAAGAACACCGTGGCCCCAGAGCAGAGGAGGAGGGAAGAGGGCAAAGAGGAGCGAGCATGAGGCGTGTCTGAATGTTAATGGCAAAAGTGTTTTTGAAACAGACCTAAATTCTCTTTTTCTTTTTGTTTTTAAAGATTTATTTATTTATTATGTACACAGAAGAGGGCACCAGATTTCATTACAGATGGTTGTGAGCCACCATGTGGGTGCTAAGAATTGAACTCAGGACCTCTGGAAGAGCAGTTGGTACTCCTAACCTCTGAGCCATCTCTCCAGCCCCTCTTTTTGGTTTTTTTTTTTTTCGAGACAGGGTTTCTCTATGTAGCTTTGCGCCTTTCCTGTAACTCACTTGGTAGCCCAGGCTGGCCTCGAACTCACAGAGATCCGCCTGACTCTGCCTCCCGAGTGCTGGGATTAAAGGCGTGCGCCACCAACGCTTTTTGTTTTTTTGAGACAAGGTTTATCTCTGTAGCTTTGGAGCCTGTCCTGGATCTTGCTCTGTAGACAAGGTTGGCCTCGAACTCACAGAGATCCGCCTCCCGAGTGCTGGGATTAAAAGCATGCGCCACCACCGCCCAGCCAAACCTAAATTCTTAACAATGAGTATTGTCACCGGGCAATGAGATCCAGAATAGGCACCAAATGACATAGAGAAACCCTGTCTCAAAAAACAAAACAAACAAACAAATAAAACAATGAGGATTGTCTAGACCACTTATGAGCTACTCATATAGTCAAAACCAACATGGCCACACACTTAAGAGCTGAGTATGTGGCTCACACCTGTAATCCCAGCACTGGTGCATATTCAAGGTGAGCTTGGCTTATAAATCTAGTTCCCCAGTTCCAGGCCAGTCAGAACCACCTAGCAAGACTTTATCTCAAAAACTAAACAAAATAAAACTCATTAAACAACAACAAAAACATGTTTTGAAAGAAGATCCAAGCTGGCAGTGGTGGCAAATGCCTTCAATCCCAGCACTCAGGAGGCCGAGGCCAAGGCAGTCAGATCTCTGTAAATTTGAGGCCAGCCTGGTCTACAGAGTGAGTTCCAGGACACCTAGGGCCACACAGAGAAACCCTGTAACCAAAAATATAAAAACAAAAAACAAAAACAAAAAAAGCAACCAAACCAAACAAATGAAAGAAATCACAAATAACCAAACAATTAATGTTAAGAGTTCTCAAAGGCTATTTAAGGCTCAAAATATGGTGTTTTCAAAATGTTCCTCAAGAGAAGCAGCTTAAAAAAACAATCTGTGAAGGAAATGTACAGAAATGCTAAGAAATGGGTGTCCCTAGGTAGTGAAATCATCTTTATATTTCTCTTTACTTTCTGAATATTCTGCAATAAGAATTATTATCTTTACCCTTAATAAGTTTGGGGCTGAAGAGATGGCTCAGAGGTTAAGAGCACTGGCTGCTCTTCCAGAGGTCCTGAGTTCAATTCCGAGCAACCACATGGTGGCTCACAACCATCTGTAATGAGATCTGGTGCCCTCTACTGGCCTGCAGGGACACATGCAAGCAGGACACTGTATATACACAATAAATAAATATTTAAAAAAAAGAAAAGAAAAGAAGTTTGATAATTACTATCATGTCACAGCTGTTCATAGCCATTCCTGCTAACTGCAAATATAGAAGACACCCTGCTTTGAGACCCTAGACATGGTGTATGGCTGGAAGGAAAACTGCAGAGTGCCACTGGCCAGGTTCAGCGTTAGAATTAACTGCTGATGTTGCATGGTCTCTCTCTCTTTGTGTGAGTGTTTGGAGGTGGGGATATTGTTCTGTTGGTAAAATGCTTGCCTGGCAAGTAGGAGCTAAATTTGATCCCCAGAAGCGATGCAAGAGATGCCAAGCATAGTGACATGTCCCTGTAATACCAGCACCGGGGAGGCTGAGACAGCTGCATCCCTGGGGCTTCCTGGCCAGTGTAGCCTAATTGGTGAGCTCTATCTATCAAGAGTGACTTTACATCAAAGGAGTTGGATGGCATTTCTGAGGATATCACCTGAAGTCATCCTCTGGCCTCCACACCCATGCATGCACACATATACACCTGCCCACACATGAGCATACACAATTTAAAAAATTATGCACCTTTATAGGGCAACAAAAAGAGAAGGGGCATTACCTGCCGCTTGATAACCTTGGACTTGTGCTGGTTCACAAACGCCTCCATTTCACTCAGCTCCAGCTGTAGAAACCTGCACACACACAGAATTAGCACCTGCATGCCATGCTGGCTGCCCCTGGGGCCAGTCCACAGAGGCCCGCTTTGCCCTGCCTCCACAGGACTCCTACCTGAGTGACTGGACAGACAAAGGCACCTCTGCCTTTTCCCTGCAACGAGAGTAGCCAAAATGGCAGCTTTAGTGAGGGGTCACAGGAAAGTTTTGGGATGAAGCCATGGAGAGTGGGGAAGTAGATCCTCACCGGATGCCCTCCAGCATCTCCTTCAGGGTTAAGGGGTCGATCCGGTCCTGTGTCAGCATGGAAAGAAGGGAGAGCCTGTGAACTCAAGCAGCCATGTCCTCAACCATCTTACTACGTCTGTATCTGGAGACAAGGGGCAGGTCTTCTTCCTCTCTGCTTTTTCCCAACTGCCTGACATGAACCCCAAGTCCAAGACCTGGATTGGAATTCAGTCTCAGGACCATGTTCACACCCATCATCCTCTTTACTGTTGCTCTCCCAGGGATCCCTACTCTCCAGGGTCATCCCCCTCCCACTCACTCCAGAGTGAGTCTCTCCCTTCTTTGGTTTCCCTTCCCCCACAGGTAGGAAGGGATGTGGCTAGTGCAGAGCGACTCTCTGGTTTCTGCTCTCCAAAGGGCCTGGCTGACTGCCTCCCTGGAAGCTATTTCTCGGGGCCGAGCACAGCATCTCACTGCTGATGCCAGAGGTGGGCCACGGCCTATCTCCCACTGTCACCCCACTTGTGAGCCCGCTCCTCTGAGTCTGGTCCTCCCCATCCAGCAGCTGCGATCTTTGCAATCTTGTGGCCCAGGTCACTCACCTCTTTGGCTTGGTTCCAAAGATCTTGTTCCAAAGGGTTTGGAGGTAACTGGGGCAGGCTGAACTTGAAGTAGGGTCTGAGGTTCTTATACACGTAGACACACGGTCCTGAAGCCAGCGCGAGGGCCGGCGTCCTGGGCTCATGTTGCTCCATGAGGAAGGTGGCAGCCGAGGCGGGCAGAGCGGGCAGCGGGCTTTCCGTCAGCACGGCTGGTCCTTTGAGCACCTTCAGACGGGGCTGCTGCCCGCCTGGGCCGAGATCTCCCACCACCAGCTTCAGGGAGAGGAGGCCATTCAGCATCATGGTCATTTCCTCAATGACCTTCTTAGGCTGAGCCTTTCTGTTGTTTACTAATCCATCCTCACATGCACAAAAGTTTTGCTTGTGGGCTTGGAAGAAGTATCCCCTTAGGAAAGCTAATGAGCCGTTCTGAACTCAGGTTTCTCTCTTGCAAAATGGGAATGCTACCCTATGACACCTGGAGAAGATCAAATGGGATCCTGAATTACAGAGGCTGGTGACTGCTCAGGGTGGCAGATGAGGGGTTTCTCCATCATTCATTCCTTTTACTGTGATGGTGGGGACTGAACCCAGGACTTTGAACACTGTTGTAATAGTCTCTGTTAGGAGGCTAAATATATTTATGTTACATTTGTATTGAAATCAAGATTTTTGTTTGTTTCGCTTTGTTTTTGAGATAGGGTTTCTTTGTGTAGCACTGGCTGTCCTAGAACTTACTCTGTACACCAGGCTGGCCTCGAACTCAGAGATCAGCCTGCCTCTGCCTCCCGAGTGCTGGGATTAAAGGCGTGTGACACCACAGCCTGGCTGAAATCAAGTTTTTGCTAAGGAAAATTTCTAATTATAAGGAAAAGTAGAGAGAAAAATACTATGGACCCCTATAAAAGCACTATCAGCTTCTACAATCACCAGCCTCTTGATAATCTATGCTCTCTTGAGAAACAGAAAAACCTCACTTCCCTGAGTTTTGTCTCCCTTCATATTCTAAATTACATATATTTATATGTGTGTGGGCACATCCATACCACAACATATATGTAGAAATCAGAGGATCAGAGTTGGTTCTCTCCTTCTACCCCATGCATCCAAGGACTGAGCTCAGTTCATCAGGCTTAGCCGTGAGCAACTTTATCCAATGATACTTTAATGCCTGTTCCCAGTTGTCAAGGTATTTTCTCTTGCACCAAAGAATCATGTCACAGTATCTGAACTCTGAGGCTGTATGCTCACTTTGGCAGCACATATACTAAAACTTGGATGATATAGAGAAGATTATTAGCATAGTCTCTACTCAAAGATGACACACAGAAATTGGGCATGGTGGTGCATGTCTTTAATCCCAGCACTTGGGAGGCAGACGATCTCTGTGAGTTGGAGGCCAGCCTGGAACCTCGTCTACAAAGAGAGTGCCAAGACAGCCAAGACTACTACACTGAGAGACTTTATCTTAAAACAAAACAACAATGACAAAAAACCAAACCAGTTTTGTGAATCATTTCTCATTTTTAAGCCCCTTTTCTTTGTATGATAAACTAAAAAATTAAGCAATAACACTTAGACAAAAAGAATTGGGGCCTGTAGTGGGCAAAAGTGCTTGCCACCAACCCCGATGACCTGAGTTCAATCACTGGAACCTACATGGGAGAGAGCAGACTCTCAAAAGCTGCCACCTGACCGCCACACTTCATGTCCCCGCCCACACCCTAAATAAATAAACAAAAATCTCAAAATTAACTTTGCTGCTAATTTTGTTTTGGGATGGGGATGGGTTTGTTTGTTTGTTTGTTTGTTTTTGAGGCAGGGTCTGTCTCACTATGTCATTCTGCTGGTCTCAAACTTGTCGGGCCAGCCCCAAACTCAGAGATCCACCTGTCTCTTTTGCACAAATGCTGTTATTAACGGCATGCATGCATCACCACTCCTGGCCCCCAAATTAATTCTTAGAGACTTAATGTCTTGGCATTATGAGTCTACATTTTGCTTTCTGTTTTATTTCTACAGATCGTGTTATAAAATTAATATTCACTTTCTAAATTAAAAAGAAATATAGGAGTTGGAGAGATGTCTCAGCAGTTAAGAGGTCTAGCTGCCCTGGATCCCAGCACCCAACATGGTAGCTCACAACTGTCTGTAACTCCAGTTCTAAGGGATCTGACGCCCTCACGCACACATACATGCACGAAAAGCACCAATGCACATAAAATAATAATAAATACATAATTAAAAGAAAGAAAGAAGTTCCAACTAAATGTGTCTTTTCAGTACTAGTGGGCTCCAGAGTATGTTGAGCCTCCTCGCGACTCTCACTTCTGAATTTCCCCCACTCAACTTTCTGACCGCTTACCTTGTACTCCCCATCGCCATGCAAATCTGCCAGGGCTGGAAAACACAAGACGGTCGTAAATGAGAATCCCAAAGTTTCACCGCTACCTAATCCGGGCGTTCCTAGGTCTGGAGACTCACCCAGGCAGGAGGAGAAAGTGTGGATGTTGGCCATAGGGTCGTAGTGAGCGTCCAGCCATTTCGAATTGGCTTCGCTGCTGCGAGGGAAAGGAGAGGATAGTTGGAAAGTGAGTCCCACAGGAAAGGAAGAAAGTTCTGAGTAAAACGATGCCTAAGACTGAGAGCACGGAGAAAAGCGAATCTGGGATCAACTGCCGCCCGGAGTGATCTGCCAATCACATACACAGACACTCTTGGCCTTCGGCTTCAGTTACTGATTTATAAAGGGCCTTTCCAGAACTTCCAGTGCTGCCCGAAAGCAAGAGTCCAGGACCCAGCACCAAGGCACCGTCTACTCATCTGAGGGAAAGGAAGCCGTGAGCACCCGGGACTTCACCTCTCAGCTCTCCCGCTGTCGGAATCCGATGAGGACGTAGCAGCCATCTTCCCTGGCGTCGCCTTGGCAACCACCTCCGCCGTAGCGCAACGCCCAATAGTACCCGGACACCCGAAAGTACAGAAACAAACGTTCCGGAATGAAATTGTCCCGGCTGGAACCAAACAAGAAAAGCGCCGGTTTCCTTGCCCGCGTTTTTCCCTTGCAGCATTATTTTGATTGATGGTTTCTGCATCAATAACAGGGTCCTTGGCTTCGAGGCCTGGGGAGGAGCCCTTGTTGGGGGCTAAGACCTCCAAAATGAACTGCCTCAATTTTTATGGTTAACCCAGTTGAAAAGGGTCATGTCCTTTCTGATTGTCATACTGCAGAGGTCCAGGCTCCGAGGATTAAAGGGAGGGGTCTCAAGTTGATGCGTGTTCTAGTTCTTAAATTCCGGGAATATTTTAAAGTACAACAATGCTTGCTGCTCTTGCCGTGGAACCCAGTTCGCTTCTTAGCAACCACCTGACAGCTCACAATTCTGCAAGTATAGTTCTAGGGGATCTGATGCCGTCTTCCAGCTTCTGCTGGTACCAACTCACAGTGAGAAAATGCACACATGGAAATAAATCTTAAAAAAATACGTCACAAAGGAGAGCTGCAGCACTCACACTGTGTCTTGTGCTTTCCTGTAGATAGGATATCAAAATCCAATTGTGGACTGCAAGCCAAAAGCGAGGTGCTGTGCCCTCCCCAGGCTCTGAACCCAGACAGGAAGAATCACACACACACACTGCAAAGATGGTTGTTTGTGGAATTTATTTTTCTGGTTATAAAAGTAATACACGAAGAGCGTTGGATTTGGTGAGAATGCTTTGAGCCCTGGCTCTGTCACATGCCACCTGCAGGATTTAGACCAGTCACTTCTCAGAACTGCCACTTCCCCACGTGGGGAACTGCACTAGGCAGCCTGTGGCGCTCCTTCCAAAGACGGCAGTGCAGATCAAGGAACTGAGGAAGTACTTGGTAAACCAGAAAGTGCTGACAAATGGAAGGGTTAGTATCACCACCCTCAGCTGAGGTAGCACCAGAGTCCGAGCTCCTGCCCCTCCCCCGACTCCTAATCTCACACACACAACTCTGGGCCACTGACAGCCCTGGTTTGATGGAGTGGGGGGAAAAGGATCACACAATCTTCTCAAGCCTGGCCAGCTGGGGCCTCCTTGACCTGGTCCCTCCAGAACTGGGCATCTGCTGTGGCCAGCTGGGTAAGGATCTCCTCCAACTCAGGCCCATCTTCTGGAAATCGCTCACAGAAGGATCGGATGAGACCAGCAGCTGAGGCCTCATACTCTACAAGCTGTACTTCTGAGCCTGGGAGGAGATGGAGAGAAAACATCAGTACGGAAAGACGTGCCGAGGGAAGAGGAGACGTAATGACAGTCATGGGAGCAGGGAGGGCGGCTGACAGAGCTCTGTGGCACCAACGCTTCAACCTTTAGCCTGCTTATCTCATTTAGTCATTAGAATAACCTGTGAGGAAGGCAGAAGTACAGGAGCAGACTTAAATGAACTGCTACCGGCTTTCATCCTTCCCTCAAGTCAAGAGTTAAGTCTGGCATGGTAGTACACACCATAGCCATAGCCCAGCACTCAAGGGGCCGAGGAAAGGAAGATCATTAATTTTAAGGCTAGTCTAGATAATTCTAGTCTCAACAAAACCAACCAAACCCCAGCAATCACTAACAAAAATGACCAATATGCTGTGCAATGTCAGGTAGCTGGAGAGAGAGAGAGAACTCAGGGATTGAGTACTTCTTGCTCTTGCAGAGGACCCAGGCTGCTCTCAGCTTGGCCTCCAGTACCCACAAGGTGATTCACAACCGCTTAGTCCTAGGGGATCCGATGCCCTCTTGTGGCCCCCAAGGGTACTGTATGCACACGGTGCACATACATACATGCAAGCAAAACACTCGCTACAATCCCAGCATATCGTGAAAAGTTTTCACCCAGTACCTGGGCCTGCAAGTCCTCCACCACCACCATCACCACTGCTACCAACTACCAAAGTGCTGGGGTAGAACCCAGGGCCTATTACATGTTGAGCACATGCTCTACCATAGGTCATACTCCAACTCACCACTACCTTTGAAAAATCCAACCTGTTCCTCAGGTCTGGTTTAAGCATCATCACTTCCTCCCAAGAACTCTCCTGGATACTCTAAAGATATAGATGGGCTCTTTATCCAAGGGTTCAGAGCACTGTTAGTATCCTTAAAACATTCATTAACATTTCCCTGTGTGATTAACATCTCCGTGTGTTCTCATTCCTAATGCGCTGTGAACCGCTTCAGGGGATGGCTGGATCCCATCCCCTCAATGGCCTCTTCTGGACTGAATGTATCAAAGGGCAAAGAAAAATGAAGCGGAGAGATAAGAGACTGAAGGGGTTACTTTGTGTTGAGGGGCTGGAGACAGCATGTCTCAGGAAGGTGCCATTTAACAAGGACCTGATCAACAAGAAGAACCAGACAGGACAGATTGGAGGGACATCATGCCAAGGCAAGGGAACAGCATGTACACAGGCTGTCGAGTAGAGTGGACTTGGTGCACTAGAGAGGGAAGAGGGCACACAGGGTACCAGCACCATGCAGGCAGGATCAGGGATTCTAGAAATGGAAATGTTACTTGAGAAGGGGGGACGGCCGAGGACATCTCTATCCTGAATGCTGCTGATTCGAATTCTCAAGGCCCTACTTGGCCTGTGCAGTCCCAGATCACTGCCTGACTTTACCTCCTTGCTAGGACCTTCTGGATCCTCCAGGCCTTGGCCTGGCCCCCACAAGCTCCTATTCTGTTGGCCTTCCCGAGACCTGCTGCTACCTGACAACCGGTGTCCATGTGTGTGAGATGGAAAATGCCAATGTTCTGGGCCTGAGGTCCGTCAGAAAGAACACAGCAGAGAGGAACCCTCCCTGAACCAATGTGTCATCTGATCTCTGCAAAGACCCCAGGTAGCTCCATCCAATGGGTGCACTATCCATTACCTTCCAGGTGAGTGTTGGGCTGGACAATCAGCTTCCGGGATTCCTTGCGCAGCAGCACCGTGTCCCTGAGCGTGAGGAAGCACTCTGGAGGTGCATCAGTGACTGCTGCATACCCCTCGTACAGGGCCCGCCCAGCAACCACATCCCCTGTGGACTTCAGCACCTGGAACGAGAATTAAGTGCCTAGGATGGGTACTCACTCACCTTGCATCCACAAGACTGCCAGGGACCATGGCCAGTTGTGTCCAGCTCTGGACAGGATGTGCTATGATTTGTCTTCTATAAAATTTCAGTGCTAAAATTTAATGAGCTAGCTGGGTATATGGCACACACCTACAATCCCAGAACTTAGAAGGTGGGGACAGGAAGATCAAGAGTTCAAAGGTCATCCTGGGCAACATAGGGAGTACAGCCTGAGCTATGTAAGACTGTCTGTCTGTCTGTCTCTGTCTCTGTCTCTGTCTCTCTCTCTCTCTTTTTTTTTTTTCCTTTTTGGAGCTGAGGACGAACCTAGGGCCTTGAGCTTACTAGGAAAGTGCTCTACCACTGAGTTAAATCCCCAACCCATAAGACTGCCTCAAAAACAAACAAACAGGCTGGGTGTGGTGGCGCAGCCTTTGATCTCAGCACTCGGGAGGTGGAGCCAGGCAGATTTCTGTGAGTTCGAGGCCAGCCTGGTCTACAGAGTTCCAGGATAGGCTCCAAAGCTACACAGAGAAACCCTGTCTCAAAAAAACAAAAACAAACAAAAAACAAAAAAAAACAAACAAACATCCTAGAATAAACATCCTAGATGGCTATTCCCACCCTGCTTTTTAAAGATAGAGTCTCACTATGTAAACCAGGCTTCACAACAGAACTGTTTCTGCCTTCTTCAGGCCGAGATTAAAGATATGTGGCAGAATGTCCGACAGCTAATTTTTAGAGGGCTGGTGTATATTAAGAGGTTTGGCTTTGGGCTTGAAGAGATGGCTCAGTGGGTAAGAACGAGAAGTATGAGTTCAAATCTCCAGCACCCATGTGAAAAAGCAGTGACACATGGGCCGTCATCCCAGGGCTGGGGGGAGGGGAGACAGGAGTGTCCCTGGGTCTTGCAGGCTGCCAGTCTTGCTCCAGGTTCAGTGAGGGACCCTGTTTCAAGGGGACATGGCAAGTGTGATGGAGCAGGACACACACGTGCATATGCTACACACACCACACTCACACACACACACACCAAATTAATTTAAATGAAAAATAAAGGACGAGGTGGGGCTTTTAAGAGCACGGGGCTCCTCCTTTGTGAAGGGGATGAAGGCCCACACGAGGCAGCCATGGAAGCGCACCCTCCCCTTCCACCAGCCTTAGCTCTACTCCCGCACGGGCTTCCGTTACATTAGACCGTCTCGCTCACGACACTGCTCAGCTTCCCTTCTGACCTTTCTCTCAGGCAGCTTCAAACACAGCCCAGGGGTACAGCACTTGCCTAGTGAGACTGAAGTCCAAGGTTTCACTCTTAGTCTTGCTCCCCAACATTTTTTCTACTCCATTTTTTCCTTCTTATCTTCGGTTAGATCTACAATCTTCCTATGAGCCTTCCTCTGTTCATCTCATTGGTTATCTAGTTTATTTCAAGGAAATCTATTTAGTTCTTTATCAAAATGTGCTTTTATGTTTACTTGGTGTATGTACACATGAATCTGTATAACTGGTGGGGTCTGTTCTCTCCTTCCTGCACATGGGCGGGGGGAAGGTGACTCATCACCTCTCTCACTTCTTGGTTATATGTGTTCATCAAGCCAACAAGCCAGACCTGAGTAGCTCAAACTGGAGAGTTAGGAACATGGATGCCAGAGGAGCCAGTGGTATCAGGAGTGATTCAGGCAGGTACCGTCTCCTGGGAATGGGTCCTAGCACCATCAGTGGATAACAGAATCTGAATGTTCAAGGCCCTAATCCAAAAGGGTGTGCTATATATGTATAACTTCCACACATCTTCTGGTATGGTACATTTTAAATCACATTTAGATTTCTTACAGATTTAAGATTTCTGTGTATGTGTTTGGTGTATATGCATGTGTGTTTGGTGTACATGCATGTGTGTTTGGTGTATATGCATGTGTGTTTGGTGTACATGCATGTGTGTTTGGTGTACATGCATGTGTGTTTGGTGTATATGCATGTGTTTGGTGTATATGCATGTGTGTTTGGTGTATATGCATGTGTGTTTGGTGTATATGCATGTGTGTTTGGTGTATATGCATGTGTGTTTGGTGTACATGCATGTGTGTTTGGTGTATATGCATGTGTGTTTGGTGTGTGCGGAGGAAGCCAGAGGAAGACGTTGCGCAACCTGCTCTCCCTCTCCACCCATTCCCTTGAAATGGGGTCTCTCACTACACTTGGAGTTGGGTTGGCAGCCAGAAAGCCGAGCGGTCCTCCTGTCTCTGCCCTCACAGTGCTGGGGTTACAGGTCTATGCAACCAGGCCTGGCTTTTCACAGGTTCTGGGGATC